CCGCGGGCCACGGAGCTCTGCCCTGCCTTGTAGGCTTCGAGGAGCTCCCACGGAGCGCTGCGAAGCGGACCATTCGGCCTCTCCGAAGAGTCATAGAGCGCGAGACGTGAGCCGTGAACAGCCCTGAGCGAACAGCGCCCCGCTTCTTTCTTTCTCTCTTTGAGCTCCCTCCTGAGGTCCCGGCAACCCGACGCTCTGGGTAAAAAGCTCGCCCATGCTGACGGCACGGCGGCCCTACCCCGCTACACACCTTGCAATCCTTCGCGCCGCTAAAGCTTCTCGAAGCCCTCGTGGCAGCAGCGCGGCGCGGTGTCGTGACGTGCTTTGCTACCTCAAGTTCCGCCAAAGGCTTTCCCCGGGCCAGAATAAAATAAGCCGCCAAGTGCGGGGCAGCAGCTCCCGCGCTGCTGAAACCCTAAACCCTATAATGGGTTTACGGAGAAGGCACTTTTGACCGATTTACTTCACCCCAAAACCCACTATCGGCGACAGTTAGAGCAAAAGAGAACAAGGTGGTGCCAGTGACTTCTCTTCGTGGTTTCTTTGTGTGAAGAGCATGTTCCACCACACAAGAGAGGGCAGCGCAGAGGAGACCCTTTTCACCCCCCCCTCCCCACCTTGGCGCCTTGCCCTCTCCAAGGTAAAGAGGCAACGAGGCCTCCTCCATTCCATTTCCATGAAAGCCAAATAACCCTGAATTAGGAACATTTACCTTTGCAATCCTGCTTACGAACTGGGGAGACTCGGGTTAGAGTGTTCAGGTGCAGGAGAGGTGTTGCTTTGGGGGCGTTTTTGTGGGGATTTGGGCTCAGGAGGTTGTCGGGTTCTTTTTGGGGGGAGGGAGGGGGGGGAGCTTGCAAGGTTAGGTGTTGCCGCAAAGGGATTCTCGTCCAGGGCTTATGCCGGGCGTAGGGGTCCAGCTCTCTCGTGCTGAAATTTGTGCTGTCTTTCCCTCATCTCTCGCTCTATCCAACATTTTCTCGCGCACGCATGACGCCGGCACCTGTGTGACCTCAAAGACACCACAGGCACGGGCATGTGTGCTGCCACGACATCGAAAGGGTTCAATGTGCCGGGCGCACACCTCTAAGTGCTTCTTGAGACCCCTCATCTTCCATCGCTGGCTGCCAAAAGAATCAGAGTCCAGCATTTCCGCCAGGAGCCCAGCTCCTCCTTGCGTGCCTTTCAGTCTTTGCAGATACCGCGCGCCCTCTCTACCAAGATTGTCCCTGGGCTGTTCTTTCAAGAGATTTTCTTGCGAAGGCAGCTGCGAAGAGGCGCAGGGCATGCATAGCACCCGCCGCAGTTTCACAGATGTTTCCAATGCCGGGAAGTCTGGCGCTCCCGCATGTCACCCAAGCCAAGCTGGTCACACTCCCCGCTTCCCTGAGCAAAATACATCTCCGATCATCTCCGCACACGGAGCCCATGTCGATCAGCAGGCCGTCCATAATTGCAGCGGTTCACCGGCCTCCTGGCCACGTAGAAAGGCTCGCCACGGCGTTCGCGCCTGCTCGATGACGAAGGGAGTTGACTATCTCCATAGCCAGCCCCTCGCCGCAGGAGTAGCACTGCATGACGTGGAAAGTCTTCTAAAGGGAAGGGAGGAGGAGATGCAGAGGAGAACCACATCGCACATGTGACATTTCAGCATGCTTCACAAACCTACCATGAAAACATAGCAAAAAACTTAGACGAGGTGGGCATCGGCGAAAATGGTGCATGCCTGATGCTGGAGGAGCTTTTTCACTACAACGAACATGCAGTCGCTGAGCACCATTCTCCAAAAAAAAGCGCATCATTGCAACATACAGGGCTCCAACGCAAGAGCTGTTCGTCCCCATACTAATGCAATGCTGCAGCTTGCAGCAGCAGTTGGACAACTTCGGAGGGCGCGGAGAAGCAGACTGAAGTCGTAGAGCCACGGAAACCATGGCCCAATACATTGTGTCCTGGAGCCTGAAACGTCCAGTGAACGTCCACGCCGGGACAATGCCCACGGCCGGCCTACATACCTTGGAACAACGCCGAACATGGACGCAACTGCCAAGCTGCCAGATGCACCTACAAGTTCCCAAAACCAGCGGCCACAAGCATTCTGCTTCACAGGCAGTTGTTTGAGTCTTTGGAGCTTTGCCGGCGTAGGGCATTGTAGGGCTTTAGGACCTTTAGGATGCTTCAGGGGCAGGCAGTGTTCCGCAGCTTTCGATGCTTGCGATTTTTTGGAGTACGAGGATTGTTTGCGAGGCTGAGACGGGTGAAGTCACGGGATTAGTCGAGAAGCCTGCGTACCTGTGCTGGCGCCTCTCATCTTGTCACCTCGAGCCGGAACCGGAAGGAACCAATAGCCGAACCGCTTGGAACCGTCACGAACCGGCTGCATTTTCCGCTTGCCCCGCGGTCCCCAATACAACTACAGCAACGAATTCGGCTGGCGCCTCATCTGATTTCGGCGCCTGGATTTTCCCTGCAAGAACAGTATGTCTCATCAGTCGGAGAGGCTCGAAAAAGAGAAACAAGTGAACGTCCCCTCCCTTCCCCGTTGTCTCAAGCACTATCCGACAGACACTACTGGGATCGACTACAGTACGATCGAGATACGATGTGCTAACTCCACCATAACCGAGGTCCTTGAGAAAATCAAGGCAGTGGCCTGATGAACAATGAACTGTAAGACGGGGAAATGACTTCCTAATCGAATACACTATACTAACTATGCTGGTCCACGAATCTCGAAGCTGGCACTCTTCACCAGGTGAAGCACAGACAACAACCAGAATCGCACCATAACAGAAAGCCCAGTGACACCCAGCGGAATCTATGCCGCGAAACAGAATAGAAGTGTGTTAGGTCCAACAATATGAAAGCAAGGTCACTACTCACAGACGATATGCGCCCGGCCTGGCCAAAGCTCCTGCCGCGACATGTCCGTGCCATAACCCTCCTCGCCCATGAGAGGCAAAGGCACCGGGTTTGTGTCCAATCCGTGCCTTTGAAGGAATGGGCGGGGACCGGGACACTTGATCACGAAATCAAAGTGCTCTGCAAGGCGAAGCTTCAAGCTATCGCCCTCTACAACGTCTTGGCCGTGGAGGATGCATGCAGACGAGGACGGCCCGCAGGACACCGGGAAGTCGTGCCAGGTGCCCTTCTTCAAGATCAAGCCCTTCCCTGCCGGGATGATGTAAGCTCTGGCCCGATCTGGGTCAGGCTTTGCGCGACCTTTGTTCGTCCAAGTCCTCGCGGTCGTGCGTCGGCTCACTCGGCAGGCAGAGGGCCGGGTTCTAACCAGTCACGTTGAAGGCCTGGGTCGTTTCCATGTGCCGTTCCAGCCAAGAAACGCTGTGCTCCTCTCCGCACTGGATCTGCGAGGAACGAACGCATGCCGGGTCCCTCCAGTCAGCATGCTTGTAATTCGCACCCTCCAGCCCAATCTTGTAGAAGGGGATGCCTATAGTCCCTAGGCCAGGATCCTCGGTGTCGTCAAAGAAGTAGCCGAGATTTTTCGTGTTCTCGCGTGAGGCAATGACGATGTCCAAGGTCAAGTGGTCCCGGTGCTTGCGCTTCTCCGGCATAGCGGTCACATCAACTAGCGACGGATATATCGCCAGTTCGGCACTCTATGTTCCCACTCGATGCAGCGAGAGAACTTGTGCCTCAGAGTGCAACAGAGTGCATCATGTCAGCAGCAGCAGCAGCAGCAGCAGCAGCAGCAGCAGCAGCAGCAGAACTCTGGCGACCTTTTTTCCCGTCTCTTCCGTCTGCAGATAAGCAATGAATCTTCAAGTCTTGAGAATCGCAGAATCCCAGCTGGGCCCGGGGCACGAGGACTGCGCGACTTTACGTGGACAGGCTCTCAAAACGAAAGTCAAAGGAGAATCACCTGGAGTAGGGGCAGCAGCAGCAAAGGAGTACCCAAAGAACTGAAGCTGGATTACACAGCCCTGCTCGCCAACAGCGAAGACTGCTAGACCACCTCCTCTCCTTGAACCTGCAGAAGCGTCTGTGCTGTCTAAAGGGCCACAGAAACGTCAAGCTCCGGGTAGGTAATCCAAAAACGGGTCTGTTGCAGTCAGGGCATTCGGCCTTCATAGAAGCATCTCCGGGGCATACGGAGCCCGTCGGGACTCTACCAGGAGTGACACGGTGCCCTTTGCCAAGTGCGGTGCGCTGAGGCGTGCAATGCGCAAAGGGATCAAAGAGAAGCCGGCGAGGAGCATTGCCAAGCAAAGAGAAGGACTGGGACAGCATGATGCTTCTCACATGATTGGGCACACACTTGCTGGGAGAAGGCTGAAGAAAGGTCGGGCACCAGGCAAGATTCCCGCCCATGTTTCCAGAATCTCGACCACATCGTTACCACTGTCTGTGGAGGTTTAAGCTGGCTTACACTGAGCATTCTATGAGTCATTTTGCCTGGTGCCAGAGACACGGTAATTCTGGCCTGTGCGTTCGCAACAAATCAGGCAGACAGCTGCGAGGATTCCCTGGGGGCCAGCTCTGCACACCACGTTATACCTCACACACACACACACAATATATATATATATATATACACACAGACACACGTCAATCTTTTGGGGCTCGCACCCAGAATCAACACCCTTCCCCCCACATGCACTCAACTCTACGAAACCGGCCATCGATGGCTGACTCAATTCCGGCCCTACAGGGATCCTGTTGCTGTGGGAAGGCCTGGCGAGGCCACTTCAGACGCTCCGGATCTGATCCCAACCCGCCAAAGCTGCTAAGTTCGCATTGCTCGCTTACGACAAGACGGAAGCAGGGTGTTTATGTTTATAAACTCGACCCTGAAGGCTCACGAGTGCTTCGCATCGGATGCTCTCAACTACTGTTCAATCTCCTGCTGCAGCCGATCCTTCCCATCACTCTCAGCTTGTGAGTTCATCACACACCACCGATGCAACAGCGACGGCGGTCTACTGAAAGACCTGGCATTGCGAAACCCATCAGCTGAAGGAATGGGATCGCTCTGATCCTCACCTGCCATGAGTGCAAACTGGCGGAGGGGAAGTGACGGTCGCGGAAGACACGTGATCTTCAGCAGTCTTTCAGGACGATCCTGCTACCCTACCTTACGGCATCAACACCTGGCGATGCCTCTCTGGGCCTTCTCAGCTCGGCTGATCCTGAGTCGCTCGCTTGAGATCCCCGAGGCGCCACTTCAAGGCACCGTGGTGCGAGGAGGCAAGCAGCTCGTCACCTGCCGGCTTAGTGGAACGGTGCCATGATCCACAAGCCGTGCCCCATCGCAAGCCCGCAAAACCTCTTCGCAAGGTTTGACAGGATCCCAGGGTTTAGGCCTTGCGCGTCGAAGGAGAAGCGATGGCTCATCTTCTCGTGCGGGAGGCGCACCTCACTTGCAGGTTAGTGGAAGTCGAAAAACACGGAACACATGAGCTCCACGTCACGGCAGCTGGAACTCGCCTGCTGCATATCCACAGCACCACAGGAACCCTCATCTAAACCTACATCCGAAACCAAGCTTCAAACCCCCAAAACCTTGAGCCTCAAACCCTCATTGCCCCTCAAGCCTCGCGCCCCCTCAACAAAAATGGGCTTACCGGCCTCCCCGGCGGGAGTCCAGGATTTCCCATGGAAGTCGGCCTCCAGGACGACGACCTTCGAGGCTGAAACGGCCGGAGCCAAACTTAAAACCCAAAACACTGGGCCGCGAAGATAAGCCAGGCATGGAATGGCGGGGCTTGGGCCGTCGAGAACGGAAGGCTTTCATTTAGGATCATCGGTGTCTAGTCGAGCACGTTTAGAGAGTTAGTTTAAGGCCACAAAAGACACACTCAACTGAGCTGCGCCTCATCTTCGCCCTGTGCAGACACAGCAGCGCGGAAAGATCCTGGCAGTTTCGTTTAGAGTTCCTTCTCGGATGCTTTCTTTCGATTCAAAACGTCCAAGATGCTGCATATCATCGCAGTCACCCCACCAGAATCATCGTCGTCATCATCAAGTGCGCTGCCACTTAACTCTAAATCCTACAAATTGCCTATAGACCCTGTAAACCCGCTGCACCGGTAAACTCTATAAACCCATGCACCCTATGAGCCCCAGAAAGCCTGCACACCCTACAAACCGGGTCTCCGACCGCCGGGAAGCCGAACGGCGGCAGCAGCAGACAGGCGGCCGAAGGGCAGCCGATCGGCAACCTATCTGCCGCGCTTCTTCGTGCTTTGCTAGGTAGCACCGTCCTAATAACGGTCAGGAGTAGGAAGAGCCCACTTCCATCTTGGTGGTGACGACCACTTGATTGGCTCACGGTCCACAAGACTGCCAGAGCTTGCTCACAAAGTCTTGTTGTCGTTCGGCTCTAAGACGTTAAAAAAAGGCTGGTTCAAGCTTCTCACCTGTGTAACTGTGTAACGTTTCCTAAGCCTCCTCTGTCACCGAATCTTCCCATGCAGTTGTTCGGTGCTGCTTCTTGGTGGCTCTCCGGCCTGCTGGCAAGGCCACCGCCCCTGGTCAGGCAGCCCGCCGCACTCTGCCACGGCCCCCGAGTCCGTGGCAACCTGCGACGTGGAGCTATACTCTGCACAGGCTCTTCGTTCATGAGGTCGGCCCCAGGACTCGATCTCCCACGCGTCTGTTCCGTCTGGAATTTCCAAAGAGCTTCCCAAAGGCCACAAGGGGGGTCGCGCCAGCAGGCCGCGTGGTGTCCAGGAGGCCCCGAGCACCGAGCCCAAGGTTTGAAGCCCTGGCGTCAGAGTCACTTGGAGTTCTCTCGCAGCTTTCTGGGCGTGCACGATTGCTAGAGCGAAGGTGCGAATATCAACACATCAATGCTGCGGAGTCAACAGTTAGAGTTAGGCCCCAGCAGCAGTCGGCACAGTCACAGTCGTAGCAAGAGCACAACAGTCCTGTTGGCATTAGCAGGAGCAGCAGCCATGGCAATGGCAGTATCTGTCATCGAAGTCGTCGTCGTAGTACTACTGCCACTGCTGCTCGTCGCAGCAACCAGTCGCAACGGCAGTAGCTGCAGCACCCGTACCAGTGCTGGTGCTGGTAGGGATATATAGTCGCAGTCGTAGAGGGTGCTGAACTTGTGACTAGTAGGCATGAGCTCTGAACGTCTCACTGCTGGTTTGGACATGTAGATCATGTGAACACGCGAATGCTCGCTAATGCACACATGTGCGAAGCACACGCCGGAGATAGGTTTGCTACCGTCACCGGGGCATCTTCGAAGTTCGCTCAAGGTCCTCACATCGGTCAAAGCAACCCAGGGGCCCCAGCCTTCAAGGATGAACTTGCTATGGATCTTGGTGGAAAGCTTCACAGAAACCTGCCAGTTCCCGGGCTGCTCATCGATGAAAACCCCTACACCCCCGAAGCAAGCATCGGTCAGTCTGCTACAATGCAGGAGCCTCCTTCTTCCTGATAAGATACGGGTAATAATACTTCCTGACAGGGTACCGACGGCTCCTGTGATTGCAACATCTGTACGAGAATTGCAACCGCACTTCAGCATGCATGTAGACACTAGCAATGCGCTGGCACTGTTTCTGAACCTTTGCTGTCACTGTTCCAGGGCCTTTGTCAAGCTCCGACAACAGCAAAGTTTCATCACAAGTTATGAACTTCCGTATGATGATCCCATAGCTGATACGAACGCGACGACGACGACGACGACGACGACGACGACAAAGGCGAGGACGAGGACGATGATGATAACGACGATGCTTCTGATGGTCGTGGTGGGCGCGGAGGCGGCTGTTGTGGTCGCGGTGCTGATGCTGCTGTCGGTTGTGTGCGATGTTGCTTGCTGCTGCTGGTGGTGGTGCCGCTGTTGTTCTTGATGGTGGTGGCGGTGGTGGGGGTAGCGGGATAACGATCATGATGATGATGGCGATGATGACGAGGACAAGGATGAGATTGAAGTTGAGGATAAGGATGATGAGGATAGCGATGTTGATGCTGATGCGGAACAGCAGCAGGAGGAAGAGGAGGAGGCGGAGGAGGAGGAGGAGCAGGAGGAGGAGGGTGACGATGAGGATGACGACGACGGCGGCGGCGACGAGGACGATGACGATGACAATCTGGATGATGATGAGGATGGTAGGGATGGTGAGGATTGTGAGGCTGATGATGCTGATGGTGCTATCATGATGATGTTGTTGATGATGACGATGACGATGCCGATGCCGATGCCGATGAGGATGAGGATGAGGATGATCATGATGATGATGACGATGATGACGATGCTGATGATGATGGTGATGGTGATGACGATGGCGGTGATGATGACAGAGGCACGGCCGCTGTGGCGTGTGGTGGTGTGGTCGTGGCTTGAGAGTGGACAAACCAGGTCGCGCGTGTCGTGGTGTCATACACTTATTGAAATTAACAGGTACTGTGCCTACACAAGTACCACTCCTCCGTCTCTCACTACTAAAATACGGAATGGGCAAGCGTATTGCTTAACAGAGCTCCGAAGAGCTCAGCCCAAGGCCTCCTTCGGCAAGTGGATGAGGGCTCCGTGCCCTGACATCGGGCTTTTTGTCTTGAAAAGTCCGAGCAACGCGAGTCCTATTCCTATTGATATTGCATGTAGCGAGTAGCTTGCGAGGTGGCGTGAGAGGTCGTCGCAGAATGACGCGTCAGGATGATTCGGCAAGCATTGACAAACTCGCAGTCACATCCTTGGAAGTAGCACTTCAGTTCCTTTTCTGACTGGCCTTCGTGGGAGAGGGGCCGCAGCAGATCCTGCAATGAAGCTCGAAAAATGCCCCCGCGCAGCTCTCCCAACTTCAAAGCCGGAGGGTCTCGTCTCAGATGTGTTGCCTCGCTTCTATCATCCCCTTGCACTTTGCTATCGCCTCTGCAAAGGTGGCCACGCCGCCATGGAAGCCTCGGCGGGGGCCGCATCCATCCGTCCATGGCTGCTGGAGCTATAGGATGAGCCCCAAGTCCGAATCCGAGAGGAACCAACAAAGCTCTGGGAGCCGCACCCGGGGCGTGGGATGACACCTTCGGAGCAAGACGCTGTTGGCAGTGTTGGGCTCTTGTGAACTCCAGCTGTCTTCGAGGCAAAGCGCCTCCTCGCGCTCCTCCAGCGCCTGTCGACACAGGGCTCGGGGAACTCTCCGCCCCTCAACGCAGAACCTGTGATCTCAGATGAGAGCCCGAAACCCTCAGCCTCGGCCAAGGCTCCCAAGGATGCGGCGAGGCGCTCGGCTACGGCCGAGACCTCCACCAAAAAAACGTGAACAGAGGTTTTCTTCTTTGTTGAACCCTCTTTTCTCTCCCATGTCTGGGTTTGGAAGGCCAAGTTTGGCTGAGGGGCTGTTGCCGGAGGCCTGTCAGTCAAAGGGATGTTTAGGGTTTAGGGCCTGGGGGCTTCGTCGCCTCTTCTCTTGCCGGGATCGGCCTTTTCAAGTCTCATGTTGTCTCTGCCGGGTTGTCCTGGTACTCTGGGTCACGGGAACCGCGGCTCCGGTGCCAGAGGCGCTGAGGACGGGGGGAGGCTCCGTGTGCCCATGCAGAGAACTTGGGAAGTCTTAGTCTTCAAGAACCCGTTTGGCTCAGCGTGGCCTTCTCGTCCTGCCGGACGAAGTATGGTTGGTCCTGGCACGGCTTCCCGTCGGAAGAGACCGCTCTTGCTCTGCTCTTCCCTTCTGCCCGGTCCATCAGCCGGCGATCTGAGCCACCAGTGTGGGCCCATTCGTTGCCTCGGCTCCAAGTCTCTTGACGGCCTCCCTCCAGGGCTCAAAAGGGCACCCACCAGCCGGGCTATGCACGTGTGCCGTTGCGGGTCCAGGGCGTCGTCCAGGGCTGCATGTGGGAGGGCCAGCGCCTGAAGCTCGACTCGAGGTCCCTTCTTAGGTGCCCCTACGGAAGAAGCCTCGAAGGGCACTGAATCTCTCCAGAGGGCTGGCCTCCTTAAAGCCCCAAACGCCCCAAGCTTCGCAGATCTTCGCAGAGACGGCCCCGCCCACGGCACTGTTCCCGAGGAAGTGGGGGCCCGACATCACGCGCCCCTCCTGCTTCAGCAGCTGCCGCTCGCCGTGCACCTTCAAAGCATCACGGCAGAATCTCTCAGACACTTTATGACAAGTAGAAACGTTCGTTAGTTCTTTGGAAGCATAGGGTACAGGATATACTATGTAACATGTTACACAAAGCATTGATGTATCATGTGGAACATGTTGCTTAGACTACCTGACTTATATCATGTGTTTCGAAAATGGAAACCTCTGGTTCTCGTGCGATCCCCCGAAGCGCTAAGACGTGCTGACCTATGCTAACTGCCCAGACCTGGTCAAAGACACGGCCGAACATGATGAAGATCCACAGGCCTTGGTTGCCGCCATCATCACAAGCATCATTAGCACCGTCGTCACCACCATCAGACACCATATCAACCTCATCACCAATAAAAGCATCAGACAGCAGCCAGAAACATTAAATATCGCTTGCAGACAGACATCGCGTCGTCTTCCTGCTGCTAGCGGGACCCTCCGCTTTTTCCCCCATGTGACACAGCTGCTACTAGCAGCTGAGAACAACAAGCCTTCCTTCTACTTCCTGCCGGCCCGGCTGATGTTGGTGAGGATGGCCCCACGGAAGAGCTTCCACGGGTAGAGCATCGGGCCGGACTGATGATACGGAGCACAGCTGGCTACTGGACTCTCCACAGCATCAAGAACAACTTACACGTTTACACGTAGAGGCAGTCCCTGTCATGTTTGCGAGACGATGCCCGAAGGCTGGCGGCCGGGCTAAGCCCTCTCCAGGCCTCGCGGGCCTTCTTTTGTGGCACAGTGGCTCCCTTGCCACCCTTGGCTGCCTTCATCTCCTGACAAGTTCTCAACGCTAGGCTCGGGAGCAATCCGGTCAACACTGCGTCGGACCACCAAGGCAAATGCCTGAAAAGGCCAAAAAACTCCATGAACCATGCGAGTCTGCCTGCTGCAAGCAAACGTTTCCAGGTTCGAGCTGCTTCGGTGGTGCCACGATGTAGACAGTGCTGGCGAATCTGGGCAGCTGTCGGAGCTTCGTCGCAGCCCCTGTTGCACCCTAGCCGCTGCCACAACTGAACTTGATAAGGATTGAGAACTTGGGACACAAAGACCAAATATGCAAACAGTAGGACTTTACACCCTTTCATCGCATCGCCACTTGATTTAGCAGTCTGCCGAGGCTGCAGCGCACGAGGCAGCCACCTGGGATGGTGAGCTGCGGGTCTCGATATTCCGAATACTTTGGGGTAGGGATTGGGGTTTAGGGTTTTGGGTTCAGTGTTTAGGGTTTATGGTTAGTTCAGGAGAAAAGGAGCGTGAGCAAGTCGAATGAGCTCTCTCTATGCCTACGATCAGCGAAGACTCCAATTGTAATAAACTTCGGAGTCTTAAGCCTGAAGAACTTACAATCCGCTGACAGGGGAAAGGGCTCTGAAATGCCGAGAACATGTGCCACCAACAAAAAGCAAGAGGTGGAGCAGCCAGCGACGACAACAAGAATCACATCAGCATCATCGGCATCATCATCATCACCATCATCACCGGCTGCAGCATGACAACACCCTGTGCTGATGATGGTGATGAATGATTACGGCGAGTCGGGTCTGCACTGGCAACAACCGTATTCTTGTCGTCCTCAATCTCGCCGGAGCTCAGGTCACCGCCACTCACCGGGCGTCCATGGCTTGCCGGCAACCTCGGGCGGATCTGCCTGAGGCAGGGCAGGCACGACCTGAAGCTAATGCGACACTGCTCCACTCCAGTGAAACTTTGGAAAAAGAAACACGCGCGCAGGCCTGCGGATGCGGCATGGCAAGCTCGAAGAGCCTGCATGTGAAGAGACCAAGGTTTGGTCGACAGAGAAATACAGCAGCTGACTCACTGATTGTAATCACGCCCCCCTCCTGGACAGATTCTCTCTCGAATCAAGTCATCAGAGTGATCGCTCACCCCAGGTAGCAGATAGCAAGAAAACTTCCCAGCCGCAACCTCACAGCCCTAACAAATCTGAGAGCCTCAAAGCCCACACGAAGTGGATGATGTACGCCACCCATGCGATGACGTAGATGAGGGCAATCCATCCTGCCGAGGTCTGGCTGCTCGGCTCACGTAGGTCAATGTAGGTTGAAAGCCCTTTTGGGCTCTGTCTCAGACTTCCACTTGCAGCCCGACACAGGGTTCGGACTGCACCCAGGACGGCGTTTAACTACAAGTGTCAAGACCTCGACGGCTAGTGAAACGCGGTGCAGGGTCTTGGGAACCGGACCGTCGTTGGGCACCAGCACGGAGTAGTCCAGGCTCATAGCAGCCACCAGGAGAATCTGAAGCGGTGAATGCAGAGTGTCTTGAATAGCTATTGTGGTGATGGTTTGGGCAGCAATCGGCACCGCACCGATCATGACTGCTCTGCCGCTCATGGAAATCTGAGCCAGATACCGGCGTGAAGGGCACGGCATTCTCAATGGGAATCTGTGCCAGGAACTTGCTGTCGGACTCCTTGGAAGTGGAAATGCCGCTCGCTCACTTGAGGGGTGCTTGCATAATCAAACCTCGAAGCCCCAACTCAAAGACCCCGAAGCGGATGGGTCGGGTCCGCACCGGTCCTCCTGGATGTCCAGTTTCAGCATGCACCAATGCGCCACGCAGAAGACCGTGCTTGCGCTCCAGGCCGGCCAGATCTCAGAGCAACACGCCAGACCCCATCCCCGTCCTCAACAGAATCCTTTTCTTCTGGAGGCGAGGGCCACTAATGACGAGCCGGTACACTCCATGTGTGTCCTACGCTGGAAAGAAAAACGGCGGCTCGGATCCCGGCCGCGCGCAGCTCGCCGAAGCAATGGCACTGAGTGTAGATCGCCGCCTCAGGGCCATGAAGGAGTCGGATAAAGGTAAGGCAGATGGCTGCAGCGCCCGAAGCACCCAGCAGCAGATTCCCGATCCCATACTCATACAAGCCCTTCCTCCTCACTCAACCGACCGATTGACACTACGCATTATGATTCTGACAGCTGCCAATGCATCCTTGTGGCGCTGGTTCCAGTGCTTTGACCCAACACAGCAAAGTCTCAAGATTCCGACAGCAGAACAGCCCGGAAGCATCCGGGGCCCTGGCTGCCGTGATCCAATGAGAGAAGAAATAGAGGATGCCAATGCGAGCGTAGCAGTCATGCACGGCCCATTCCTGCAGAAGGGCTTCGGAATGCTGTCGAATGAAAAAGCCGGTGGCGCTCCGCAGACCCCTCGTTCCGCGTGGTCGCTCGGCCTCAACGAACCACCGAGATCCACCGAGGGACCCTTACTTATGGCTCCTGTTGCAGGCCGCGGTAGAGCTCGAAGTGCTCTGGATTCGCACCTGCCACCGCAGTCCGACACATGCCCTTTTCGATCCCCGGGCTCGTGGTATCTCTACGCCTGCCATAGGTTTCTTTTTTCGATGTTTTCATTCCACACCAACCTTCCCAAGCAGGCCTCCGCAAGGCTCGAAATCCCCATTCCCGGCACAGCTTGGGGTCCAGGCCCCGGGTGGCTGCCGGTGCTCCACCCTTCGAGCTGTGGAGATCCTCACAATCTGTCAGGGTCTAGCATCCACTCCGGGGGTGTTTTGGTTCCTTGTTTAAGGGTTCTGGTATAGTACAGTGAGAACGTTGCGTCCCACCGCTTAGGGAAATTTAGGCATTCATGGTGCCCTGCTCGCTTCGTTGACAGAAGTTTCGTGCTCCGTTTTCGTCCAGCCAACCATGCAACACCCAAGTATCCAGACTTTTCTACATTCCAGTTCCAACAGGAGCAGCACACCTAGCCCACCGGAAACACGGTCATTCTACAAGAAACAACAGGTGCATGACACCTCATGCACCAACCGGAAACCACTGCATACACATGTGCTGGTCTCGAACAGGTTCCAGAGAGTACCTCATGTTGCCCAAATCTGCAAGCATTCACCAGTGCTTCCGACCAATGAATGCCGTTCGAAAGCCCAACAGGGCAGAAGCGAGGATAGACTACCCATACCCAACAAGACCTGACAAAACTCTGAAAGGGGGCATAATGTCTTAGTCGCAGTCCTCGAAAAACACACCATCATCGCATCAACGTGGTCACCATGACCGTCCCTAAGTCCTATCATCAGTGACATCGTCACCATCACCATCGTCACCATCACCATCGTCACCTCATCATCACTGTCATCATCCGCCGCAGCAGCAGCAGCAGCAGCAGCAGCAGCAGCAGCAGCAGTAGCAGCCGAATCGCAATCGCCAACATCATCACCATCATCTTTGTTGTCATCGTCGTCATCATCAACATCGTCACCATCATCACCACCATCAACAAAGACATTCCGCCATCATCATCTGTAGCGCAGAATCAGAAGTGAGGCGGCATAGAGAACGCTCGCGGTTCAGTCAGAAGCGATATCTGGACGGGCTGAACACATCCACTCCTGAAGCTCAAGCCCTGCAACCTATGACGCTCCTTCGTCTCGTCTTGGTACCACTTCGGCATCCTCGTGAGGCCAGGGACGGTAGTACCCACGACACTCACGGCACCACGATCAGAGTGGCTTCGGCCGGCAGCCACGAACAAAACAAGAACAAGACTGGAGTCTAGAACCACTATAGTGACGACCGCAATAACAACGCACCACCACCACCACCACCACCACCACCACAGGTTCCACGGCCGGGCGTTGCTGGATTGAGCTTCTGCTTATCTACCGGGACAGTCCTGCGCTGGGTGCCGCTCTTCCCCTGCGGAGGTGCGGCGTTCTTCTTGGCCTGCCAGGGGAGAACTGACGGCCAGAACCCTACTTGATACCCAAACTGGAAGGCTTCAGACAAAAATGGGACAATTCAGTCGGCCTCAAAACGGACAGCACCCATTCGCACGACAACACTGAACTCGAAACCCACTAGATACAAGGAAGCAGGTCTTCTCACTGCTCTGTAAGTGGAGGGCCGGGTCGGCGCCCTCCTCCGCCGAGGGTTCCTGGCAAGGTTTCGGGAGGATCTACCAGGTTACCACTTCTTGTCTAGGCCCCTGCGAAACATAGAGAAAGTCCGATCTCCATCACGTGATTGCTTTGAGCTTCGTCAAGGTCTTAGAGAAGGTAAGAGAGACTCGACATGTTTCGCCACCGTCTCTCGGTTCCGATGCAGCCGACTCCCGTGGAGAATTTCAGAAGAAGGAGCAAACCGCTCGAAAGAGACTAGAGAATTTCAGAAGAAGGAGCAAACCGCTCGAAAGAAACTAAAGAATTTCAGAAGAAGGGGCAAACCGCTCCAAAGAGACTGGAGACTTTCAGAAGAAGGAGCAAACCGCTCGGAAGAGACTGGAGACTTTCAGAAGAAGGAGCAAACCGCTCGAAAGAGACTAGAAAATTTCAGAACAAGGAGCAAACCGCTCGAAAGAGACTGGAGACTTTCAGAAGAAGGAGCAAACCGCTCGAAACAGACTGGAAAATTTCAGAAGAAGGGGTGTAAACTGACAGCTTATTCGAGGAATCCACAAACTCTCACGCGAACTGCATTGCACATCCAAAGCGGATTGTTTTCACTGCGCTACCATGTGACTCAAGGCCTCACGTTTGAGAGGAGAAGAGCAACGGACACAACTGTTGACGGCAAGCGCTTCAGGAAAGCAGCAACATTACATGTTGAGATTCACAGCCCCTAAAAGGTAAAAGTTTCTTGAAGCGTCTTCCCACGTCTGGAGCTTCTGCCGATTCCGGCTTTGCTTGCCATCCTGCAGCGTTCGCTGCTCGTCCGTGACTTTAAAAGTCGAGCTCTTGAGCAGTCGCACCAACGGTTCAAGGTGCGCCCCTGGATACTTAGTGAGGGCATCGGAAGGATTAAAATTGTGAGGAACCCAGCGTACACGGGACTTGCAAACTTGCAAGCTTTCTTTGATCACCGCCACCTCCAAGTTTGAGCGCTCGCACTCACCGGACTGGTCGTTGAGTAGGCTGTCGTAGAGCGCCTTAGCGTCGATGACAACGACGCTCCTTGGATCCCGAAACAGCTCGGCCTCGCTGGAGATCACAGTGGATCGGCCTTGCAGCTCAAGGACGTCCTCCTCCTGGCGCTGTCGTTGTCGGGGCTCGTAGTTGGAAAGCCGAAGAGCGTCCCACAAGGCATCTTGCTTTTCCAAACACCCAGTAGCAGCCGACAATGACAAGGCCTCACAAAGCATGGAGCTGGATGCCTTCCGTCGCAGGCGACGGGATCGCCACATCATGAGGCTCACCGGAGCCTCCTTGCCGAGGTTGAGCTCGTTGGTGGTGAAGCCCAGAAGGTAGCCATGCTGGGATTTCTCCCGGCCTGACGTGTCGAACGCCGCATCGGAGATCAGCAGGTTCCGTACCTTGTCCTCCGGGATCGCGTGGATGCGGAGCTTCACTGGATGTTGTTTGAGCTGTCGCACCATGTCGTTTGCCATGTAGATCACTTCCACGGTGGGCTCCGGGAAAGTAGACGCCAGGATGCTGCTTGCCGCGGCAGCATCGGGTCGGGCTTCACGGCCCACCCAGGTTAAGGTGGCCAAGACGCCTCGCAACTGAGACTTCTCGTTGTCGTCCAACAGAGTGGTTGGGGCGTCCTTCTTGAGCACCTTGCGGGTCATGGCGATGGGCGACATGCGAGTATAGATGTACTCATCCATGTGAATGACGAAGGAAAAATCCGCCAGTTGTCGGATCGACTTGCCTGCGTAGCTCGTTTCAGAATCTTGGAGGTTGACGACCTTGCCAAAGGTGATCTCGGATTCCAGAGTTGACATGAGCTTCCGGTGCCGTTCGTCCCCGCCCTCGATGACATCGTCCACCTCGATCACGAGTAGTCCTTGGGTGGCCTGCTGAGGCTCACTGGCTGGTAGAACAAGCACACACGGTTCGTAGGCGCAGATCCTGTAGCCAAGGCGGCCCGTCCTTTGCAAGAAGCTGGAGCGCCACCAGGAAGGGCCACTCACCAGGCCGTAAATTTCCGTCAACAGTAAAATCAACTGCCGCGGGTCCAAACCTGGCAGACATTCGTCCCGAGGTTGATTGCATGCCAACGTAGTTTTGCGACTAGTGGGCCTCGATTGCAGAAACGCGGTTTTCACGTCTTTGACAAATGTAGTCCAGCGCCTGCTTGCGTTCACTTGTAAGACGGCGTTTACGGAGGAACTAGACGGAGTCGGAGCTGACCGCTCAATCTGGTGTATGTGGGGATCACCCCAGCCGATGACGCACCAGCGAGATTTTGGCTGGCTGCGATCCTCGGTCATTTCAAGTGGCGCAAGCTCGCCCTGAGTGGCAGCCTTCTTGGCCTCGTCGATGTCTTTGGCGGAGATAGCCACCGGCTTGTACCGGTCTACGAATCGAGATTCGAGGACATAGTCCGGGTGGTTCTTCCGAAACTCCTCGGACTCCTTGATCGAGAGCACGCGGATCGCCTTGTTGGCCAGGAGGGACTCCACCTCTTTGGCACGACTTTTCCGAAAAGTCTCCCGCTCGGCACCTTGGAGTTTGGAGAACTCCACCTGGCCAAACGAGGTTTTGGTCCTTGGTGAGGTAGAGGCACTTGTCCCGCTGACAGAAGCTTGCTTCGGACTCCGCACAAGTGAAGGTAGTCTGAGGCTTGAGAGGCTCGAGGTGGTTGCGCCCAGAGGTCGTTAGCTTAGTCCACTTTGGGCCCGTGCCGGTCAGGAAATTGCCGCCGGGGTAGTCGGACTCGTCGAAGGACATCACCTCCAGGTACGTGGAAGGCTTGATGGCAGCATTGATCCGCTGCTTGCCTCATCGACTCTGACTTGAGCTCGATCCGCTATGTCCGGTGGGACCTGAAGTGGACCCACGTCCAATGACTCGGCAGGTGGCTCGTCGTTGGGAACCGAGAGCACACTGTGTCGTCGACTGGCGTTTGGCTCGGAGGGAAGAGGCGGCTCGCTGCGGTCCTCCCCCACAGTGGTGGTCAAGTCATCTCCATTGTGGACCGCCGCCGGCTCCACAAGAAGGTCCTCGCCTGGTCGGTCTTGAGGTCCATCGTTGTCGCCGAAGAGGTCGGGGAACAGCTCCGCGGTCTCATCTTGAGAAGGAGGAGGTCCTTCAACTGTAACATCCTCGTAGCCGGTACGAACCCCTTGACGGATTTGGGCAAGTAGGTCCCGATGTAGTTCCACCGCTAGCGCGGCTCCGAGGTGCTCCTCACTTGAGGCGGGTCGTAGTTGTTCCGCCGACACTTTCCACAATCGGCCACGCATGTTTATCCACCACGTGTTCCCTCCAGGAGTCATTGCCAGCAGGGCTCCGGGTCCGACCCATCCGAACCGGTTTCCATTCTTGCGCCACACGAACGCCCATTGTCCTGGCTGAAAACTGTGCGCATGGATGTCCGAACGACGGGTCTGAGCGGTGGACGGTAGTCACGTCGTCCTCCCGGATCCAAGCAGTCCTGGCCGCATCTCGGATGGCCCAACTCCTCTGAACCATGTCTCCTGCCGCTGTCTCTTGATCCCACCGGTCCGTTGCCATGAGCGAGCCAGGTAGTCGTAGAGAACGTCCGAAAAGCCGTTGATTCGGCGAGTAGCCGTGCCGGTCGTACATGCTGTTGTGCGCGGCAACCACCTGGGCGAGGACGCAGTCCAGCTCTTCATGGTTCGCTGCTACGTCCTGAAGGACCATCTTCAGCTTGCGCTTCACTGTGCCAACGGCACGTTCCGCCCTTCCATTTTTCCACGGCGAAGCCGCGTCTGTAAAGTGGACGGCAGAACCCATCTGCGACATGTACTCCACGAACTGTTCTCCAGCAAACTCTGGCCCTTGGTCGCATATCAGGATCTCCGGTACCCCGAAGGGCGCGATCCAATGCTTGCTCAACGCTTGCCTCACAGTGATTGCTCTAGCATCGTCACACTGGACCGCCTGCAGGTACCCGGCGCCGTGGTCGATGCACATGAGGAAAATCTTCTCGGAGCCAAAGAGGTTCATGTAGAACAGGTCCACCGCCACCACGGCATTGAACTCCAAGGCCTTGGCGAGGTGAGCAGGCCGAGCTGGTAGTGTTTGCTTGGAAGCTTCACACAGTGGACACTTGAAGTATTCTTTTATCCACTGCAAGACATCGTCTCTCACCCCAGAGTGTCGTAAGGCTCGGATGAACACGTCTTTCGCCGGGTGGTTGAGGTTCCTGTGGACCTTGAAGATTTCTCTACGCAAGTGGGGATGCAAGGAGAACCGGCCGGTCTGCTCGTGTTTCCGAAAGTCGTCGACCTTTTCCATGGCAGTCGCAACTTGTTGATTCTCCGTCAGAGGCCGAAGCGCTCCTTGAACTTCCCTCATCACCTCGTCGGCCTCGTCCTCCAACCCACCTTCTGGTTCTACTGCAGCTGGAAAGCTCGCTCGCGAAGTTGTAGTAGAGAACGAAGGGGGTGCCGAAGAACTCGCTCGCAAGGTTGTAGTAGAGCACGAAGGAGGCGCCGAACTTTTCGTATCGCCCCTAGCCTGCTCCGAAGCGAGCACGGCCGCCGCGGTCTGGGTACGCACCGCCAGTAGAAGGCCCTCGAAGGCTTGGCGATGGCGATCGGCAGTCGCTTGAACATCTGGCATGGCGGGGTGGTTGTTGCCTTGGAGCGTGTTGGCATAGCACAAGCAGTGCAGATAGGCGCGAACGCACAGTTCCAACTCCTCGGAATCGGCAGACGCCCAGGAGCACTTGTGCCACGTCACATCTTCGAAGATCCGCACCAAGGTCTTGTCATTGGTGAGAATTGCCAGCCTGGGCCCGGGCCTGGTCAAGTAGACTTCCACCGCAGTCGCCGAAGGCAGCTGGCGCATCAAACCTGGAGCGGCTTTCGGAACACATACCAACGCGAACAAACGACCATGTACGTCTTGTTCCTGCGCCATGTCCACGAAGGTTTGTCGACTGCTGCCGTTGATCATACCTGTAACGAAAGCTGGACAGGACTCCTTCACGGCTTGTACTGACCGGCCCCGATCATGTCGCTTA